GAGAAGGTCTGGAAGAATTCGACCCCCTCACGCTGACTGAAGCTTCGCGCAACGTAACGCGCCTTGAAGGCAGGCGGAGAACCCAGTGGCCGCTTCACCCTGAAAATCCACATGCCATCGACTATGTTCGCCCCAGGTGGGGAAACTGCGTTGACGTAGGTGCCTGTGGACTTCCCGGAAGCCATATCTGCGTCCATGGATATCTGCCACTGAGAGGAGTACGGACCCGTGATCGCGTTTGCGTAAGAACGTGAGGTCGGGATGTCCAGTGCATCCGGGTCTCCCTCAGGGCAAAGAAGAGTGGACGCGAGATGAGGTGCAGCGGCCGCTAGGCACTCCAGCTCAAATTGCCTGTCCTCAAGGACGTAATAGCCAAGGGCAAGCTCACCCCCAACGGACGGAGGACAGGAAGAGTAAAATACAAGACTCGCAGTGTAGTCAAGGCGGCACAAAACAGCCAAGTCAACAAGCTCAGCAACTAAGGCAGACGCAGCATCAGACTCCAAGGAAGGGTCGGTATAACTGGGGGCAAGTATTCGAATGACAGTCGGACTGGCAGTACGGAGAAGGTCAGACTCAGGGTCAGGAACGTGAGGAAGAGAAGACACGGGAGGCGACGGCAGGACAACACGCTGTGGAACAGAGGAAGGACGAAGCGCCATGATGCGCGTGCCAGGGACAGGTGGAGGACGAGGACACACAACACGTCGAGTACGTACAGGCGTGATAGGACGCGACGCAGGCTCTCTACTCTCAGTGAGGGAATCTGTCACCGCCGTGTAAGGAGGAGGAGTAGGCAGTGGGGAGTCAGGCAGTAGCTGTGGCTGAGACTGGTCAGGCAGTGGAAACAGTAACGGAGGAGTAGTGCCAGCAACAGGGAACTCAGTAACAGCAGGCGGGAGACAAAGAAGGTGACTAAGCGCAGACTGCTGCGGCTGAGTAGTCGCACCCCCAAAATCTCCAGCTCCAGTAGCAACAGCACCCCCAGAACCAGTACCTCCAGCTCCACCACCGGGACTGCCCCAACGGACAGCCCACTCGCGAAGCTGCTGCGGCGACAGCGACTCCTGCCGACTAGCACCACCAACTCCAGTACCTCCAGTAGCACCTCTAGTGTCAGCACCTCCAGAACCTCCAACTCAAGGAACACCAGCACTAGCACCTCAAGGGCCAGCACCTCCAGTACCTCCTGCTCCAGTACGTCCAGCTCCGCCACTGGGGCTGCCCCACCGGACAGCCCACTCTCAAAGCCGCTCCGGCGAGAGAGGCTCCTGCCGATGAGAACCAGTACCACCCGCAACAGCACCTACAGCACCAGTACCTCCAGTACCTCCACCAGCACAAGTGCCTCCAGCACTGGTACCTCCAGCAAGGCCAACTCCAGGAACACCAGCACTAGCACCGCCAAGTCCAGTATTTCTAGGACTCCCAGCTCCAGCACGTCAAGCGCCGCCACCGGTGCTGCCCCACCAGATAGCCCACTCGTGAAGCCGCTCCGGCGAGAGAGTCTCCTGCCGACGTGCACCAGTACCACCAGCACCAGCACCACCAGCAGCTCCTGTACCCGTAGGACACTCAGCACCCCCAGAGCCAGCACCCCCAGAGTCCGCACCCCCAGTGCCACCACCTCCAGCAGCACCAGAGTCCACAGCGACGGGCTGCAGAGGCGGTGAAGACGGTCGAGGCGGAAAACCAGGATGGACCGCCAGGCGCGCGGAGTGGCGAGGGGCTACTGTGTCGGCAGCAGTCGGGTCACCCCCCTCAGCTGGGCCAGAGGTGTCAGAGGAGACCTCCAAAGCCTCAACCAAGAGGGGTGGGTCTACCTGAGACACACCTGAGGGAGCAGGACCGGGAGGAGGGAGGGGGCCTAGCAAGGGGGGGTCGACAACCAGGAAGAGCGGCGGGAGAGGTACCGGGGAACTGCGGTGGGGGTGAAGACGGTAGAAGCAGACTGACTCGTCAAAATTGACGTCGCGGGAGGACAGCATATGACGAGAGCCCGGGTGGTAAAACTGCCAGGGCGGTGCGTCGGTGGGAAAGCCAAGGAACACGTACTGAAGAGTGCGCGGAGAGAGCTTGCCCGCAGGCAGATCGCGGACAAGAGAGAGGGAACCCCAGACCCGAAACTCCGACACATCGCCAATCTCCTCCGTCCAACGCTGTGTAGGCGATGTCTCTGGCACGGAGACACGGGGCTAGAGGTTGAGCTGATGCGCGGTGTATCGGACCGCAAACAGCCACAGAAAATGGGGAGCAGCCACATGGATCATGGAGGTGCGAGCAACCTCCATGACCAAGCCGATGCGGCGCTCTGCAGTCCCATTCTGCTGTGGAGAGGCCGGAAGCGTGAACGACGAGCGGGGCCCCACACGTCCATGTGGAGGGTCTGCAGAGGAGCAGTGGTAGGAGGAAACGAGGAGTGAGGAACGGCGCGCTGCCGCCCCTCGACACAGGGAAGGTAGGTCGGTGCAAGCGACCTCGGAAGTAGGGACAGGGGCCTGGGGAGACCAGACACAAGGAGACAGGAGTGCATGCCACACAGGCATGGCAAGGAGGGGTGGCCAAGATGGTGGTGCCAGAGGAGAGTCTGGTGCGTGAGGAGATGACACGAATAAGACACAGCGACCTCAACCGACGCAACTACCTGACCTGACTCCACCACCAGTGCAGACTCAGTAGTCTGTGTGTAGAGACCAGACCCAGGCCTCCGAGTGAACGTGGCGAGGTGCTTGCCCGTGCGTGAGTCCGTACTGATCGCCACAAGCTCTCCTCCAGGCTGGGTGACAGTGACCCACTGGTCCTGGAGGACAGAGGTAGCCACCAAGTTCTTAGCGAACGAGGGGAGGTGGACACCTGTGAGGAGGCCGGAAGGGGCCGCCGGACACGGGAGAACAGTAGCGCCACGCGCGACTACCGGGCCCCCAGAGGGGTCGGCCAGTGTGACACGGACAGGGGATGTGAGCGGTGTGACTGTGGTGCTGTCGCAGAAGAAGCAGCGAGACGCGCCTGAGTCGAGAGTAAAAGTGTGCAAGGCCTCCTCAGGCTCTGCACCTGTGCTAGCTGAGTCAAAATCACCAAGACTAGCAGCCTCTACGCCTCCAAGTGCCTCTACACCCCAAGTACGATTACCTCGAAACCCTCCGCCACTGGGGCTGCCCCACCAGACAGCCCACTTACGAAGCTGCTGCGGGGAGAGAGTCTGCGGCGGACGCTGCTGCTGCTGCTGTCCACCCCCAGAACCTCCGCGTCTACCAGCGGCACTACCAGCAGGAGTAGACTCACAGAGACCTCCAGTAGTAGCACCCCAGGCTCCGCCACCGGGGCTGCCCCACCGGACAGCCCTCTTGCGAAGCTGCTGCGACGAGAGCGCCGACGAGTACGAGGACCGCCAGCACCAGCACCTCCAACTCTAGCACGGCTAGCTCCGCCACCGGGGCTGCCCCACCAGATAGCCCACTCGCGAAGCTACTGCGGCAAGAGAGACTCCTGCACACTCGGCTGCCACTGACATAGGATAGTGATGGTGGCCATGGCAGGCAGTGGCAGCTAGTAGCAGTAGCTGCGGCTTAGCAGCAGCAGCAGCAGCGCAGCAGCAGTAGCACAGGCGGCAGTAGCAGCGCAGCAGCAGTAGCACAGGCGGCAGTAGCAGCGTAGCAGCACTCGGGGCAAGGCGGCGCGGGTGGCAGCAGCACCTAGGGCGGCAGCAGCAGGCGGCAGCACCTAGGGGGGCAGCACCTAGGGCAGCAGCAGGCGGTAGCACCTAGGGCGGCAGCAGCAGCACCTAGGGCAGCAGCAGCAGGCGGTAGCACCTACGGTGGCAGCACCTAGGGCGGCAGCAGGTGACAGCACCTAGGGCGGCAGCAACAGGCAGTAGCACCTAGGGCGGCAGCACCTAGGGCGGCAGCAGCAGTTGGCAGCACCTAGGGCAGCAGCAGGCAGTAGCTCCTAGGGCAGCAGCACCTAGGGCGGCAGCAGCAGGCGGCACTTGCGCGCGGGCAGGGGCGCGCGGGCGCTGGGAAGCGGGGCGCGCACGGGCACAGGGCAGCGGGGCACGCACGGGCGCTGGGCAGCGGGGCGCGCGCTGGCGCTGGGCAGCAGGGCGCACGCGGGCGCTGGGCAGTGGAGCGTGCACTGGCGCTGGGCAGCGGAGCACGTGCGGGCACAGGGCAGCCCACGCAGGCGCTGGGCAGCGGGGCACGCGCAGACGCAGGGCAGCGGGGCGCGCGCTGGCTCTGGGCAGCAGGGCGCGCGCTGGCGCTGGGCAGCGAGGCGCGCGCGGGCGCTGGGCAGCGGGACACGCGCGGGCGCTGGGCAGCGAGGCACGTGCGGTTATGGGGCAGCAGGGCGCGCACATGCGCTGGGCAGCGGGGCAGGGCAGTGCGCGCCGTCGGCGAGTAGGGCAGCGCGCGGCAAGCAGGGCAGCGCGCGGCAATCCAGCCAGCGCGTGGCAGCAGGGCAGCGCGCGGCGGGGCAGCGCGGGGCAGGGCAGGGCACGCCCGCGGCGAGCAGGGCAGCGCGGGCAGCAGGGCAGCACGCGCGGCAGCAGGGTAGCGCGGGCAGCAGCGCAGCACGCGCAGCAGCAGGGTAGCGCGAGGCAGGGCAGGGCAGGGCAGCGCGAAAGCGCTGGGCAGGGCAGGGCACGCGCGTGGCGAGCAGGGAAGCGCATGTGGGGCAGCGCGTGCGAGGCAGCGTGTGCAGGGCAGCGCGTGCAGAGCAGCGCGTGCGGGGCAGCGTGACCATGCGGGGCAGGGCAGGGCAGGGCAGCAGCCCGATAGCGTACTGGGCAGGGCAGAAAACGTCGGGCAGGAACGGAACTAATCGGTGGGCCCTAAAAAAAAGGCGGTCCTAGATTGGGACCTGCTCTGAAACCATATCAGAATACAAAACAAGAATGTGTTGACTAGGCAAGAAATGTGGTACAAGTACTAACCCTAACAATGGTTGTACCCCATAGGGAGTAACCCACTACAGCCTAACAATGTATGTTTGACAACCTGCAGAACGCGTGCATCTGCGGCGCGCACCGCCAGCGCGCGCGCATCGACTGCAGCACGCACACGCCAGCGGTGTCCCTTGTTAGCAGCGCACGTGCATCAGCAGCACGCGCCACCGGCGCACACCCCGTTAGCAGAGCGCACATGCCGTCAGCGTGCACCACTGGCAACGAGCACGCCCCAGCATGTGCACCGCGACCAGTGCGCACCACCAGCAGTGCGCACATCTAGCGGCGCGCTAGCTGCAGCGCACGCCGTCAGTGCGCCAGGAGAGCATGCCACCACTCCGCAAGTGCCCGCCAGAGGTGGCCACGACGTCAGGCCCTGCCAGTACTAGATCCTAACTGGCCCAGATACTGGCATTACCTGCAGGCTCCTCGATCACTTCGCACTTCCGTCAATGCGCTGCTTCCGTCGCCTCGATGACCCCTTCACGATTGTTACGGGCCTCAGCGGGTCCCTCCGCACTGGCCGGCTTTGCTGAGTCGTGGTCACCAGGTGTTCTCTATGACCGTGGATGATGTCTATTCCACCATGTATATTGTTGACTCTAGAGTTGCTCGATCTTTTGCTTGCTCGCATGTACCTAGACTAGGTTTTTTGCTTGTTTCTAGTGTAGGTGCTTGTGTTGTTGCTAGCTAAAGTGTGCCTACTGAGGACGCATCACTTTCCTTCACACTTGAATCCAGCACGTCCCAGTGCTTTTTCCGTGACCACACCAATGTCACGTCAGGTCTCTTCACACAACAAATAGCGTCCACCCAGGTGTCTGCATCTCGCCAGGTTGTCGCTCTGTGCTCTTGCCGGGCACTCACACACCCATTCCTCCTGTGGCACCACCATCTAGGTCACCCTGCACTCTTACGCCTCCTTCACATGGCTAGGCATGGTCTTGTCTCTGGTCTCCCGTTACGGCTTCCTCTGCTCCTTCCTTTGCCTGCTCAGCAGTGCACTCCTTGCGTCGAGGGTTGGCAGCGTGCCGTCCCTCATTCCTCCTTGCTTGCGCCACCTACTGTGCCTCTTTAAACTTTGCACATGGATGTCTGGGACCCTGCCTCTGTCTCAAGGCCATGCATTGGAAGCTAATTCCTGGTGGTTGTGGACAACTTCTCTCGCTACACCACTGTGTTTCCCCTGCAGCGCAAGGCCGACGTGCCTGATGCTCTGATCTTGTGGATACTGGCCACTGGCATCTAGCACGGCCTGCCTTTGCTTTGTCTACACCCCGGCCGTGGGGGTGGGTTTCGCTCTGGCCAACTTGCTGAGTTCTGTCATGACAGGGCATCACCCAGTCCTACACACTCCCTGTCTCACCACATCAGAATGAGGTTGTTGAGTGCCACATTGGCTTGGTAATAGAAATCGCTCGTATCTCCATCGTCCATGCCTTTGCGCCCCATTTTCTGTGGCCCTTTGCGGTTCGCTACGCCGCGCATCAGCTCAACCAGTGGCCTCGTGTTTCGAGCCCACAAGATTCACCGACCCGTCATTGGACTGGGTCCCTTGGTGGTGCATCTACACTTCATGTCTGGGGCTGCCTTGCGAATGTCCGCAATCCTCGCGCGGACAAGCTCTTGGCTCTCTCTCTCCCTCCCCTGTGTCTTCCTTGGATTATCCGTTGATGCCCCTGCCTGTCTCTTTTACCACCCCTACATCCACCGGTTCTTCAACCCCCACAACAGCACTTTTGACCAGTCAGTGGCCTTCTACGCACGCTATCCCCACCGAGGTACCCCGATTTCCACCCTCGCCTCTTCCTCACTCCCACTTCTCCTCCCGGTCCTGCTCCTTCGATAGTCCCTCCTGACCCACGTCCTCCCCAGGCTTGTTGAAGTGTCCAGGACCAGAATTTGGAGCCCTCAACTGCTCCAGACCTTGCCCGTATTTTTACGGGCGCAGGCCAATGCCAAAACTTGAAATCCGGGCTCTGGAAACGAGTATACTTGAGGTTTATGAAGAAAACTAAGTTCATGAGGTAGCCTAATGCAATCGAGCACACACTGGTCTGCTAATGGAAAGAGTGCCTGTTCGCCACTACTTACATACATTACGCATGGCACTCTCTCTCATGCATACGATGAGAGGGGTCGAGGCGGGGGGCAAGGGTTGGGGGGGTCCTTCAAATCAAAACCAATACTTGAATTCACGGGAAGTTCCTAATGGAGCCCTTAACCGTCACGGGCTCCATGCGAATCAAGAACTTTAAATTGTCGAGGTGCTCCAGGCCTAACCCGGAATGTCCAGGACTTTAAATGGTCGAGGTGCTCCACTCACAAAGCTGCTAAGGGGTGGGGTTGTTCGAGAGGCGTGGCAGCTGCGGACCACTCCCATAGCCTCCGCCACCACGAGCTGAGCCCCCATAGCCTCCACCCCTGCCGGCTCCACTCCGACCGCCTCCACCACCCCCGGCCACCTCCACCACCCCCGGCCACCTCCACCACCCCCGCCACCTCCACCACCTCCACCTCCGGTGCCACCTCCACCGCCTCCACCCCCTCCACCACCACCCCCGCTAGCATCACCGCTAGCGCCACCCCCACCTCCCTTACCCCCATTGCCCTTGTCGCTGCGGCGCCTATCACTAGGAGCAGACGCAGCGCCGACTTCCTCAGCACCAAGGAGGTTGACAGCAGCAGCAGTGGCAACTGAGGGTATGAGAGGGGAGGGAGCACACCCTTCAAAAAAGGGGGAGCGGGGAGTGCCACGAGAGGCAGCGACAGCGGCATTACTGGTCTCACCCTCGAGGAGGTACTTCTCTAGAGAAGCAAGCGTGAGCTCAGTGGGGTCGAGGGCGAGAAAGTGGTCCCTAACTGTGCGGAGGGAGTCCGGGAGGCAGGTGACTAGGAAGTACAGGGCGGGGGGGGGGTTCTCTTTGAGGAAGGCCGGCTTCAGAGCGGCACGGTAGCGAGTCTCACTAGAACGGAAGTGGGTCATGAGGTTGGCATCAGTGTGGAAATCCGAGAGCTCAGGAAAGAGGTACGGCAGAATGAGGCGGCCTACGGTAGCAGTAGCTGGGGAGGAGTAACGAGCGACAACTGCGTCATAGAGGTCTTTCGTTGTCTTATGCTGGCCAAAATGGGCTCTCTCAGCTAGCGGGAGGTGATTGCGCACAGCTAGGCGGGCAGTAGCGTCACGAGTGAGCCACTTCGATTGATCTGAGCGGTCGGCTGTAGCAGGTGGGGCGAGGAGGGATCCGGATGTATATTCTATCAGTGAAACTCCATCCCTAGCCTCGCTCTACAGGAACAGCTGGAGATCGTCGAGCCAAACGTCAAAGCTAATCGGGCGACCCTCCGCATCAAAGCTAAGAACCGAGATGGTGGCCATAGTGGCAGGAGCAACAGCAGCAGTAGTGGTGCCAGCAGTAGCAGCAGCAGCGGCAGCAGTACCAGCAGCAGGAGGGCAGTGCGGCTCGGTAAGGGCAGGGCAGCGCGGCTCGGGCAGGGCGGCGCGGCTCGGGCAGGGCGGCGCGGCGCGGTGCGGCTCGGCAGGGCACAGTGCAGCAGCGCGTGTGGCAGCAGCAGCTCAAGCGCAGCAGTAGCAGCAGCAGCAGCGCAGCGCAAGTGGCAGCAGCAGCTCAGGCGCAGCAGCAGCAGCGCGGTTGGCAGCAGCTGCGCAATAGCAGCAGCAGCAGCGCGCGCGGGTAGGGGCGCTCTCGGGCAGGCGGCACGCGCTCAGGCAGGGGGCTCGCGCGGGTAGCAGCGCGGGCAGGCAGTGCGCGCGGGCAAGCGGCGCTCGCGGGCAGGCAGTGCGTGCACGGGCAAGGCAGGCAGAGCGCGTGCAACAGGCAGCGCGCGTGCAGGCAGGTAGTGCACGTGCAGCAGGCAACGCGCTAAGGCAGGCAGTGCGCGTGGCAGCAGGGCAGCGCGACTCTGTTCGGGCAGGGCAGGGAAGCGCGAGGGCGCTTCGGGCAGGGTCGAGAGGATCGATTTGGTGGGCCCTAAAAAATCTAACCGTGTTCCTGCTCTGAAACCATGTTGAGAGAACTGTTGCAGGAATGATGAATGACTAGCAACAGGGAGATACAAGTATGAAACCCTAACTGGGGTTGTACTCTATACTGAGCACCTCACTGTAGCCTAGCAGAACTAGGAACATACAAAATGTTTTGACAGTGCGCGGTTTCGCCTCCCTTCTATCCAACAGCCATGTCCAGCACGCGCAATTCATGAATCTCCAAGTCACTTTCTGTCATACCAACCTTGAAGTCTAGGGAATTCATGCAGTTCGGTGGTTATCTCGGGGTGAAGCCGTGTCGCGTCTTTTGGAAGTGCTCCGCTGCAATCGTTTTGATGAAAGACCAGGCGCCGACGTTGTACGAATTGGCGACATCGTTCAAGTTTCATTGGCTTGTGCAACTCCTAGCGGACGTGCTGTTCGAGCTAAATCAGCTCAACCTTCGGTTCCAGCAACGCCAGGTTAGTGCGTGTACTATTATTGTCAAACTGGCTGCTCAATGCTTGGTTTCCATGTGAAGTAGCGGTTCAAAAACCGACACACACTGAATCTGTACTGAACGTGTGTCACAGGTGGACGTGACTCTGGTGGCACACCTCGCAGAGCAGATGTGGATGCGCCTGACCCAACACTACCTCCGTGTCCCCGAAGGACACACATTCGGCCATGGCGACAAGATGCATCTGCCAGCCTTCATCACTGCACATGGGAAGGCAGACAAGCGGAAGATGAAGGTGGAAGGGGTCGATAGTGAGGGGACCCCAGCCTCTCATGTGTTCGAGCTCCACGAGCGAGATTTTCCCGATCAAGACACGGACGGGGACGCAACAGCATGCTACGAGCTGTCCACCAAGTTTGTGCGGGCGGTTGTCCAGCAGCTGGAGAAGCGCTTGCGAGACTTGTCTCACCTCGATGGCTCGAAGCTCTTCTTGTCATCGAAGTACCTGACTGACGATGACAAGCGTGTCGCGGCGTTCAAGCGCTGGCTGAAGCAGCTCCATGTGCTCTTCCGCGAGACCCTGCCCGGTTTGTGCACTTCTGCTTCTTTGAGATTTTCTCCTACCCCACACAAGACTGTGAGGTCCTGTTGTTATAGCTTGCACACGGCCTGCTTCACATGACTTGTTCTGTTAATGATCAACCCCCAAACCCCCCCCCCCCCCCCCCCCCCCCCCCCCTCCCTCCCTACGCTAATCTGCCGCCTTCTACCGGTACTCCTTTGAGAATCACTTCCCCTATGCCTCAGGCTTCAACTACACGCAGGCTGTCACTGAGCTCTGGATGTTTACATCGACAATGCATTCCGAGCACCATGATGAAGATTTCCATCAGGCGCTCAGCAACACTATGCGAGATGGATGACTAGTGGCAGCGCTCCTACCCCAACATCATGCTCCTGTGGCAAGCAGTCGCTGTGCTGCCTCTGAGCACGGTGGAGTGCGAGAGGGGGTTCAGCAAGCAGAACATGATCAAAACATGGGGGTGGGGGAGCATCTCAGACACCTCATTGCGACACCTCATGCGCTGCTCTCTCCTGGAGTACACCATGGACTGGTTTGATGTCGCAAGGCTCTTCCGTGGCGACAGAAGCAGGCGGCCAATATGAGATTTCACTGGCAGCAACCCAAGTGACACGCAGTTTAACCCTGCAGCAGGCCCTGACACAACTGCAAGTGCAGAGGAGGGGGAAGCCGAGAATGTGTGATGTGATGATGCCTGGTTCGGTGTGGATTACCGGTAGGTAGTTTAGCACGTAGGGAATGTGTATGTGCCTTTGGAATTCGGATTTTGCACATGCAATCAGGGTATTTGAAAAATTACCCTTACACACACAGGGTACTGGCCAAAACAAACTGATTTGCCTTGGGTTTTTTTTTTTTTCACACTGACTATCAGACTAAGGAGCCCGGGGGACCCTGATATGGCAGGGTGCCCCAAAACCAATTTTAGGCCCTGATGTTAGTTTAACTAACCAGGCTGGCTGGGAGGGACTCTGTCGCTGGAGGAATCTGGGTGCGGCAGGATAAATAATGACGTCTGATGAAGAAGCACGCAAGCGGTAGTAATACGGTATCGCATGCTTCTGACATCTGTTCTGTATGCACCGCTGCATTCACCTGCCATGGCACCTGCTCACAGGCTGATGAATCTACTAGCACCTTGGGCCTGGCAGGTGCCATCCACCCTCTCATTATCCATCACATCACAGCCTTGCATTGCATCTATCCAGTACAGGTGCCACGCTTGTACAGACTACCAGTCCTGCTTCCAGCCGGCACAGGTGCCCCTGTGTTCGTTGCGGTGCAGTGCGGTGCTGGATCACGGGGCTACTACCAGCACCAGTTACGATAACTGGTGAATCGAGAGGGACGAGATGGATCAAGCTTATGGACCAAAATGGTGGGTGGGTGGATAGAGCTGTGAGGTGGTGTGAAGGGTGGATGCATCAGGTGGATACAGGGTAGTGGTACTGCAACACCTGTCCACTGCTACACCTGTCCACTGCAACACCTGTCCACTGCTACACCTGTCCACTGCTGCTTTGTGGCGCCTTAAAAGCCCGCGTGTGACGAGAGTCGATTGCTTAGGCGCCTCACAGATTGCATCAGGTGCTCATCAGGCGGGCACCAGGTAGTGCCGCAACACTTTCTCCAGCGCTGCTTTGCTCACTGGCTTCGACATGTAGTCTGGTGAGAGGACCAGGGGGAGAGAGGGGAGCAGGGAGGGAGAGACGGAGAAAATTAAGGCAAAGGTGGACAGTTGGAGAAGTATGGAGGAAGCGAGAGAGGGGGATAAGTACGGGGGAAGGGGGATAATCAATGGGGGGGGCGTGAGAGCAAGACAAGGGGGAAGTTGGAGAGCGGGTGGAGGAAATGTGGGAGAGCAGTGAGAGGAAGGGAAGGCATTGCATCAAATAGATGGTTCTGGCACATGCTCTTGTGGCACATGCTCTTGTGGCACATGCTCTTGTGGCACATGCTCTTGTGGCACATGCTCTTGTGGCACATGCTCCGCTCACCTATCATGCCAAGAGCAGCATTGGAGTTGCTCTTGTGAATCTCAACGGCATTGCTAGCTCTGGCGGAATGCCCAGCTCTGGTGGCATGTTCACACTCAGTGTCTCTCCCATACTGTGCTGCATGCTCTTATGTCAGATGCTCCACTCACTTACCTGTCCTTCCAGCAGTCAGGCACTACTCCTGGTAGCCTTTCGAGGCCACTCAAAAGCCAGCCAGACACCTGTTCCTCACACTGTGCTGCATTCCCTTTAGGCACTTGTCTCTCACATTGTGGTGCATGCTCTTGTGACACATGTCTCCCACACTGTGCTGCATACAACTGTGGCACGTGCTTTGCTCACCTGTCACGTCTGCAGCCAGGCACTGCTCCCAATCGCCTTTTGAAGAGACTTAAAAGCCAGCCTGAAACCTATCTCCCACACTGTGCTGCATGCTCTTGTCATACCCACAGCCAGGCACTGCTCCCGATTGACTTTCAGTGCATTGGCCATCTGAAAACACACCAGGGGTTGCACCAACTGTCCCTCTCACACTGTACTGTGCTGCATGCCCTTGTGACACATACAACACTCACCTGTCACCTGTTTTTCTCACCTGTCATGCCAGCTGCCAGGCACTGCTCCCGATCTCCTTTCAGCGCATTGGCCGTCTGAAAACACACACGTGGGGAGTTTTTTGACAGGGCAAGGAGGCGAATGGGAAACCAATCAGAAAGGAAGACTACAGCTGGAGACAACACAACGAATAGGCTTTAGGGAGCTTAGTCAATTGGAGCCAAGTAGCTGTAGGAGCGGGGAGGCGAGCAGAGAAGGCGGGTGAGGAAGCAGCGGGGCGAGGAGAGAAGGCGGGCGAGCAAGCAGCGAGCTGCCCTGCTGGTGTACTGGCGCCTGGGAGAGAACTTACGAGCGCCACAATGGTGTACAGGCGCCTGGGAGAGAACTTACGAGCGCCACAATGGTGACTGGCGGCTGCCCTCTTGCTGCCTCCAGCTCGCGGATCTTGCTGCTGGCCGTCCACCCGTCCATCTCCGGCATCTGGGGGCATGGAGGAACACAGAAGCAGAGTGAAAAGGTTTAAGAGAATGATACTTGGGGCCTGAGGACGCTGACATGCTTGGGGGTTGACGTCTGAGTCGCCTCCATCTCCTGGACCTTGCTGCTGGGCGTCCACCCGTCCACCTTCGGCATCTGGGAGCAGCAAGGGAGTAGGGGGGGTAGGGGGTAGCGGAACCGAGGGAACAAGGGTTGGGGGACAGAGGATGCTGATTCTTAGCTGCCTCCAGCTCTCGGATGTTGCTGCTGGGCGTCCACCCGTCCACCTTCGGCATCTGGGAGCAAGGAGTGAGGAAGAAAACGAGAATGTTAGATTCATAAGGGAGGGGTGAGGACGCTGAAATGCTTGGGAAGACTAACAACTGATTCTGCTTGGGCGGAAACGCGTGCCCACTCCTGCTTGTGGTGTGGAGATATGGGAAGCATGAAGCAGAGGGAAGCATGGGGCAGGCAGCCCCTGGGAAAAGAAATGCACGAGCAGCAGGGTGTTGTCAGAATCCCAACCACTAGACCATTGGGATAGAAGGGCTTGTTAAGTAGCGGGTCAGTGCGCCCATAACCCCCCAGGACAACGAGCCTGTAACCCTTCCCTAGGATCAATCGGGGATCACCAGTGGACCTCTGACAGGTGTTACAACGGGATGAATCATGAAGGGCACACAAGGGCGAGAGGAATGAGGGAGACGTGATGGCGTGGGAGGGTTAAGAGGGCGAGTGGGATAAGGTTGCTGACCTGGAGATTGATGAGGCTAGGGTTGCTGACCTGGCAGTCCATGAGGATAAGGTTGTAGTGGTTCTTCTCGGAGAGGTTAACTGCCTCGAGCCCATTGTTTGCAAGGTCCACAGTCACTCCCAGCATGGCTAACATCGACTTGGCCACCTTCTGGTTGATCTACGGGGGGGAGAAACAAGAAATCGATAACATGACAGAATTGCAGCAGGCGACAAGGTTCAATGTTAGCGAGATCCACACTCCCAGCATCGTGAGCATTGACTAGGCCACCTTCTGGATGATCTGTGGGGAGTGAAGTGAGGACTGTTGAAGAGAGGTGATGGTCCATGATTACAGAATGGCAGGAGGGTTTCGTTGTTGCCGAGCCCAGCATTGTGAGCGTGGAATTGGCCACCCTTTCTGGTTGATCTGTGAGGCTTTTACTTTCAAGGCAAAGTTATATGCTACTGCTCTGTTACAAACATCCTGCTGTTGGCGGCACTCGATTCACACTCACACCCACCAACGCCACCATCAACCACGAGTCACATTGACCGCCGCTCAGCTTCGGTCCGCTCAGCTTGCCCCTTCCTGCCCGCACGCCCCCATTTGGGAGACAGTTCAAAACTCACCGCATTGTCCTCTGCCAGCAAAATTCGGCCGCTAAGCTTCGGCCCGCTGGGCTTGCCCCCTCCTGCCCGCGTGCCCACACCACTCACCCTCCCCTCCCCTCACCGCCCCTCCTACCCAACCCGGCTGCACCAAACTGTTGAGTGACGAGTCAACTCAAGAGCATTGACTCACCGCATTGTCCTCTGCCAACAGTATCCTCCCGCTAAGCTTCGGTCCGCTGGGCTTGCCTCCTGCCCGAGGCCCTCCACTTGAAAGGCAATTCGGAACTCACCGCATTGTCCTCTGCCAACAATATCCTTCCACTAAGCTTAGGTCCGCTGGGCTTGCCCCCTCCTGCCCGCGTGCCCACCCCGCTCGCCCGCCCTCCTCTCGCCGCCCCTCCTGCCCCTCCCTGCTGCAGCAGGCTCTCCCCCCCTGGTGTCGCCCTCAGCGCTGCTTCTAGAGCTTCCATTAAGGCCTTGGGGCGGACCTGTGGTGGTAAGGGGTGAGATGGGGGAAATGAAAATTGGGATTACAGGGAAGGAGTGGGTGCAGGGACTGCAGCAGCCTCTCCCCCCCTGATGTCGCCCTCAGCGCCGCTTCTAGAGCCTCCATCAGAACCTTGGGCCGAACCTGTGGGGGGAAGAGGGGAGGGAGGAAGAGGGAGGGGAGAGTGGGGGAGAGCATATATATACCATGCAATCCAAGCTATATAGAATCCCTCCATGTCAACCCACCATCCCACCATCCACCATGCCATGCCTTCCCACCACCACAGCACACCATACCATACCATCCCAGACCGCACAACCCCACCCAACCCCACGCCACCCCACAATACCACAGTCCCTCCGCAACATACCATGGGCTTGTTGAGCAGGAGAGGCGGCGAGCGATCGTGCCAGTGCCTCACGGCTCTGAGCTCTGCCTCTGTCTTTTCTGTGACCTGCGTGCGATTCAGCAGCA